CTCAAATTCCTGTTTCGTTTTAACCTCCTGCCTCCCATAATACGTTACATTTCTTTAAGACAATTCATCCCCTGAGGCGGAAATAATGTCTAATATGAGTAAGATAACGTAGTAAATTCTATTATCTTTAGTTTTCGCAAAGTTGTTATATTTCATCCTATTTAGTTTCAGTTAAAATATAAACTTCATTCTGAGGAGATACCATAATAATTAAGAAATGCTTCTCAGGATTAAAAGCTGTATACCAGCACTACCAAAACAACAAGTGTGGTGTTCATGTCGAAACTTCTCTAACCCAGAAGTGAAGATAACGTTTGTTGACTGTACAGTGTGAGGCGAAGATCATTATCACACTCCAGTCATTGTTGTGTTTCATCTTTTTATTCAGATTGGTTATATTTTTATTATGTGGAGATATTTTATGAACATTTTAGACATTTGGTAATGAAACACCTGGATGATATTTTTACTGTTTATTAGTGATTGTAGGTCTGAAACTGCTAAAACAATATATACAATTATATGAAGTGTTGCGTTAAATACATAGGGATAAAATGTAGCTGATATTTTGCCAATAATTGGTAACTTTTTGCTTTTATTGTTGCAATTTAATGGAAATTAATATCTCCTACGTGGTAAAATACAGGGTGTCCATAAATGATTACCCTTATTAAGGCATGAAAGCATACTGTTTTAGGGTGATCATTTATGGACACCCTGTATATTCATTTTCATATAAAACGTCGTTCACTGTCATAATATAATCAAACTATATCTAGGTTAGGTTAGTATTAATGCTGCTCATCTGTAGTTTGTATTATGATTATTTACTTGATCGTCCCCGTACACAGCAGCCGGGGCTCCCTCGATACATGTTTAAAGACTATTGCGTGTATATATATATATATATATATATATATATATATATATATATATATATATATATATATATATATATATATATATATATATATATATATATATATATATATAAATATATGTAAATATATATATAAATATGTGTAATTAGTTAAAATCAAATTATAGATAACACATTAATTAATATATTGTGAATTTAGACAGAAATAACCATCCTTGATGTTATATCTTATTGATGGTGAGTACCATCATGGCCAGGCTGAGGATGACAGCAGCGGCCACCAGGCCCAGGTCCAGCTTTATCAGCAACATGATCTGCCTGTCCCTCAACTGTCCGCTGGGAGAGCTGTTCAGCATGATGACCCTTGAGGTTGTAGAGATTCCTGGCGCTGAGGGAGAGTGAGGCGTTGTGGCCTCTGACTCCTGCAGCGGAGAGTACCCGTACGGTTGTATGTTCTCCACTTTTACACGTGGTAATATTTCTTTACCAAGTGGAAGAGTTACTAAGAGATTTTCATTACCGGAAAAGAACTGTACGTCGCCACCATTACATATGATTTTGAGGTGCAGCCAGTCGTCCACAGGCTGGAGGGTTTTGTTGACCTTCGTGTCGTTTGCGTCACATGACTTTTTCAACGTCGCCATCCAGTTAGTGATGCTTAAGCAGCCAAGCACGTTGTTGTTATTGTCTATGATCTTGAGTTTTGGGGAGTTGGATGATAAGTTCGGTAGACTAACCATAGCGGGGATGATGAAGGAGAAGGTATCCCTATAGGTATCACACGGCAGTTGTTCACAGTTATAGTGCAAAGTCTTGGTGGTGGAGCAGACTGACTCGGCTCTGGCAGTCCGTATCATCCCAGAGAGAGAGAGGAGTAAGGAGACAAGGATGGCCCGCCTGGTGATGAGTGTGGCCATGATGAGTGTGTGCGCGCCAGGACCGTCACTACGGGTGTGAGAGGTCTGGAGGCTCCCACCCCACCACTAACACTCTCTTCCATGTTTGTGGATTTCTCCTTCCCTTTAATTATCCAGATTTTTTTGTTTCATACGTCATAAGAGAGGTGTATGTTAGGCTAAATAGGAATAATTACCTATAAACTAACTTCTATATTTTTTTTCGAAATTTCATAGAACTATGAATGTAAAGTATCAAAACTAACCTAACCTAACCTTATTTAGTTATAGTTTGGTTATATTTTGATAATAAACGTCATCTAAATAAAATTGGCAATATTTTACCATACAGTATATGAATTTTGTCTAAAATTCTAATATATGTAAATTTTATAGAATTTGATCTTTCTTAGTTAATTTTTATTTATTTTTTTATTTTACTTTCAAATGTAAGAATACTACTACTACTTTGCTGTCACTCGGAATCGAGTATGACGATCAACCAGCTATGATACAATGATATGAGTTATTAAGGATGTCACCTAGGTTGGTGAGTTCTGAGGTGACTAAAGAGGCCGATACGGGATCGGCAGAGTCATTCACAGATGTTGCACGTGTGGTGGGCTACATCTAGTGCAAGAGGGGCGGCGGCAGTGTCTTTCCGGCGTTGGCGCTGGTCTGCCTCGTTATGCAGTCGGGCTAACTCTAAAGTATAGACACTTTCTCGTATGGTGCTCCTCCAAGCGTTAAGGTGCAGAGTAATAGTCTCCCAGGTGAGGGGATAATGAGCGTGTAACATACAGGGTCATCGAAAAAGAATACCCAGATTTTGATACAGAATAATTTGAAAACTGAACATTTTTTCGATGACCCTGTACAGTACAGTATATAACAAGTGACGGTCACAGTAGTTCGGCTCACCTCTCATTTAGTGAACAACATCCGTCACCAGCCCACAACATCCCCCCGGAGAGGTGTAAGGGGTTAACATCCCCCAGAGATGTGTAAGACGTTAACATCCCCCAGAGATGTGTAAGGCGTTAACATCCCCCCGGAGATGTGTAAGGCGTTAACATCCCCCAGAGATGTGTACAGGAGATGTTAACATCCCAGAGATGTGTAAGGACGTTAACATCCCCAGAGATGTGTAATAACATCCCCCGAGATGTGTAAGACGTTAACATCCCCCAGAGATGTGTAAGACGTTAACATCCCCGAGATGTGTAAGGCGTTAACATCCCCAGAGATGTAAGGCGTTAACATCCCCGAGAGATGTAAGGCGTTAACATCCCTAGAGATGTGTGTAAGGCGTTAACATCCCCTGAGATGTATAAGACGTTAACATCCCCAGAGATGTGTAAGGCGTTAACATCCCGAGAGATGTGTAAGGCGTTAACATCCCGAGAGATGTAAGGCGTTAACATCCCCAGAGATGTATAAGCGTTAACATCCCCAGAGATGTGAGGCGTTAACATCCCAGAGATGTAAGGCGTTAACATCCCCTGAGAGAGATGTGTAAGGCGTTAACATCCCCAGAGATGTGTAAGTCGTTAACATCCCCCAGAGATGTGTAAGGCGTTAACATCCCCAGAGATGTAAGGTGTTAACATCCCCCAGAGATGTATGAGGCGTTAACATCCCCAGAGATGTGTAAGTCGTTAACATCCCCCAGAGATGTGCAGTGTTAACACCCCCAGAGATGTGTAAGGCGTTAACATCCCCAGAGATGAGTAAGGTGTTAACACCCCAAAGATGTGTAAGGCGTTAATATCCCCGGAGATGTGTAAGGGTAACATCTCCCAGAGATGTAAGACGTTAACATCCCCAGAGATGTGTAAGGGTTAACATCCCGGAGATGTGTAAGGCGTTAACATCCCCGAGATGTGTAAAACACCCCCAGAGATGTGTAAGACCCTAACACCCCCAGATGTGTAAGACGTTATCACCCCGCAGAGATATGTAAGGCGTTAACATACCACCAGAGATGTGTAAGATGTTAACATCTCTCAGAGATGTACAAGGCGTTAACATCCAATAGCGATGTGTAAGGCGTTAACATCCCCCAGAGATGTGTAAGGCGTTAACATCCCCCACAGATGTGTAAGGCGTTAACATCCCCTAGAGATGTGTAAGGCGTTAATACCCCCAGAGATGTGTAAGGCGTTAACATCCCCCACAGATGTGTAAGGCGTTAACATCCCCTAGAGATGTGTAAGGCGTTAATACTCCCACAGATGTGTAAGGCGTTAACATCCCCCAGAGATGTGTAAGGCGTTAACATCCCCCAGAGATGTGTAAGATGCTAGCACCCCCAGAGATGTGCGAGTCGTTAACATCCCCCCTAAGATGTGTTGTGATTTTTTTTATGAGTATTTACATCTTAGATATTAGACGTAGGTGTGTGTTGAAGTGTTTACATAGGATACCATATTGTAGTCCAGCACACCTGCCGACCACCGACTGTGTGTTTGACCGGGAGTCGTGACCTGCACAAGAAGCTGATGATGG